CTACATAAACGTCTATTTTACCATAAATTCTTGTGCTTATGGTTTTGGGTGCCAGAAGAACCCACACTGACGATGTTGAGAACCTGTAGGTTTCCACGTAATCACGTAATCCGAGTGAATATCCATTCAAGTGTTATCATTCACAGCAACATAGATTTACGCCATCAGAATTAGATATTGTGGTGTAAAGGAATAAACATTTGAAGAATCTGCGAACCAATGGCAGTGAGTTTTCCATGTTGTTCACTTTAAGGTATGCAGCATTGTCAAGGATGTATATTCACTGTTAGATGAAGTACTAGAGAAGTTTGTTTCATAGCATTATTGTGAATGTGTTCACTTTAAAGTTAATAGGTGGTTTGGTCTCCTGGTATTTACTGTCTGTCCAGACCTTCGATGCCTCCAGCTGTCCATACAGCCAATCTGTGCATACTCATTCCGTTGACATTCTACATTAAATAAACATGCAGTACAAACACCCCTGTAATTAAAATTGCTTGCCCCGAAGCAACATGTAATTTTTTCACATAAATTTAAGCAAGCTTGTAAAAATAGTGTGCGTATGTATACTCAAAAATATTCATAACTAAAATAAATACTTCCAACGTGCGAGATTTTGATGGTAACCAGCCCGTTTGAGCTGATGCAAGTCTGCAAGTGTGTGGACCAGTTGACCCGTTCCGCCACTTTAACTGTCAACCTTACACCAGGAGCATTTGCAACTAGGTCATGGAGAATCATCTCACACTTGACGGGCGAAACGACTTTCCGTATTTCCACGAACAGCTACCACACTCAAGTGTTACATCTCGTTAGGCAAGCGCATGATTCCTTTAACATGACAACCCCATGAGTAACCCCAAGGAACTGGAATAGGAAAAAGGCCGTTTTATGTCGGCTGCGTATATATTCAGGAATTATCGCATGTACACAGCTAATTGCAACTCCTCTGCTTTCCAAAAGTTCCAAAGTACTTTTCATAATGCCGATTTTTTTCACGTCACCGACGTTTTCCTCCAATCTCCGGACTTCCATACTTATCTGCCGTGAATATCTCTCAGTGCCCCTCATGATCTTAAGACTACTGTCACATGACACCATAAGCATAGGTTCTAGATCGCCCCCACGCCACCTTCAGCAATCGTGGGACACTTTTTCGACTGCGGAGGAAGTTGTTACCCTGCAAGATGAAACACCCGCGAATTTAGGGAAACGTAATTGCAATAAGGCCGTGTGTCTACAGAGAATTTCTTTCAAAAGGGATATAGTGCCTAAACATGGACAAGTCACGGAATCAACCTGGTTGACAGCGCCGTTCTTCATTATGAAGGCTCCTTCGTTGACACTAAGGTCTTCGTAAATGTCACTCAGGCGACCGAATTCGCATGCCACTGCGTGTACTGCAACCGGCGCAAGCAGCCCACTAACCAAACTGGACCCTCAACACGATCATTCGTTTCGTGACCCAAAGTAAACGTTTTATGTAGGTATGCCGATCCCAACAGTACTTTCTATGGTGGTTCTTCTAGCTTCGGCAAGATAACCGAAGCTGATGGTGTGCCTGCAACACATGACGTTGTTGACCACAACCTACCCAGAATCATTACGCTTTTTACGTTGGGAACATCACTGACGGTGACAACCTTTTGGAATTCATCTCCTGCATGCTCAATTACTCCTTCCACTTTGTCTGAGCAGCGGATCCAAGGACCCACATTTTTCTCCCCTTCATTGCCCAGCCTTCCGAAAAATTGACCACCCTTCAACAATTCAACGTCATTCTTGTGGTTTTACTTGGTGTTAACTTCACTCAGCAAACCCAGCACCATTTTGAGGGAAGTGGAAATCTGGTTGACAGCCAGCATATTTTCGACTGAAAGTGAATAGCGATTCACCTTTCCGGTGAGCTCGTAAACCCAGGCCTGTCGACTCCCCTTTATGTTCATATGTAAAAACGAAGACAAGGCTACATCGCAAAGTCGGAGGAAAGTGGTTCCCCTTGCCCTTCGTGACCGTTTATTGAGTCAGTGTATGCTAAAAAGTCTTATAGACACTCAGATTTATGCTGAGACTGTTTAATTGCTTAAGTAATCTGGGACCGACCTGAGTGCTGACAAATGTGCGTTACACCGTTAAATATCCGGCCGATGCCCGTGGTCGCTGAGACCGGGTCATCGCTGTCGCCTGACCCCTGAATAGTGGTGTGCAAGTAAGAAGGTGGTATGGGGCTGTAAATGAAAGCTTACCACACTTCTAAGATCTTCAGAATCTAAAGTAGAAAATACAGTGAGCTGACTGCAACTATAACCTTCAGCAAACGGTGGCAACTCGGCAAAGGGCAGCACCTAAGGACTGAAAACGTATCGCAAGCTATTTCATCAAAATATTGCGACTGCTATTGTAGGAAATGTTTTTCGGTATAAAAGTCACCGAAAAATAAATATTAACCGCAAAAGTGGGACAACAACGCAACCACGAAAGGCAACAAAAACAAAAATTGTACCTGTCACGATCAACACGGGTCCGCTAACGCTGCATGTGTGACATAAAAGATATGTGTAACGGCCCGCAAACGGTACGAATATACTCAAAAATACGTTCAAGGTAAGAAGTCTGGAAGACGTTCTCTGCTAGACCTCTGGAGACCTGAAACTACCTCTCCGGGCTGCATATTGCCAAAATCTTTAACACCTCCTTCGACACACAACTAAACATTCCTTTGCGTAGCCAAAATCGCCATCTGCCGGGACAATCTTCAGTGTTACGTAATCTGGAAGAGTTACATAGAATACAAGAAGCCCCAGCTATGATCCCCAGAAATTCTCAAAGCTCCGTGCTGAAAAACCCTCAGAGGGTGACGATATTCATCCGTGTTTGTTGAAACAGTGTGCGGGTGTCTTGTGGTTCACTGCGTAAACTACTTCACCACTCCTTGGGTAGACACACCATCCCTCTGAAGCGGAAACGTGCCATTCTTTCCCCCATATTTGGAGGAGGGACGACAGGACTCAGAGTGCTTCCGACTTGTAGCAGCTCCGCCATTGTTATCGAAATTAGTGCAAAGCCTGGTGGAACACCGTATCAAAGAACACTTAGGTAAAAAGGAGCAATAAGTGATGCACAACGCAGCTTCCGAATGAGTATGTCCTACGCCTAGAAACGTTTTGGCAGCCCGTGATAACCAGACTGTATGCTGAGACCTCCAAGTCTATCCTCACTTGATTTTTCTGTTTAATGAATACCTTTGACACAGCCTCACATAACACTCTCATATGCAAAATAGCAGGGTTTGATACCAGCAGTCAGGTGCTGTCCTGGCTAGAGGATATTTAGACGACAAAGAGTTCTGCACGAAATAACGGGTTAACGTTTAACGTAGATAAATGCCGAACCATGTTTCTCCCTATCCCTGACTCTAAGAAAATGTCGTTCTCTTTCTGTGGTTCGCGCTCTCCTCACAAGATTATAAAGAAGGACTCTTGGGTAACATTGACTGATGAGCTTGAAACTATCTCCAATTATCCAGGAGATGCCTCCAGGGTCTAAAAATTACTGGGCTGCATGCACAGACAAATAGGTACCGTCATCCCGGGATCCTTTCTGAAACCCCACTAGGCGAATTCACGACCTCACTTACGGATCCACAGCTTCACTGCACCAACATGCGTAGTAACAGATGTGAAGTTCCTGAAGAAAATACAGAGACTACTCGTAGAAGGCGTTGTATCAACTCAGAAAAGGTCCTGTGAGGATAAGGTGAGAGATCTAGGCGTTAACTCGCTTGGTTTTTGAAGGCTACAAAAATCAATATAATCCATGTCAGCCGAATGGTAGAACTCTACTGAACGATCACTTCGGCAACCCAACCCTAACCCAAAGAGAACCTCCCGTCATAGGAAGAAAACGCGTACGCATTCATTCATTTTCTGCCTACGATTTTGCAGCCACTGGAACGCGTTGCCTGCCGAGATTACCGCTAGCCCCTTATCAACAGCTTCACGAAGAAATTGGGCAGCTGCACAGGAATGCATGGGTTGTGCTTATCCAGCCGCAATGCGAACTCGGCCAAACAACCAGCTGATTTCCTTTCATTGCAACACGGTCCCCCCGATACCGACCCTTTCGTGCTGACACTGTTATCATGAACCCAACGCAAATCCATAATTCCAGTCTCCCTTCCGGTTATCATAGTACTTCGAATAATATTAATATATATACCGTCACTCTTCCACCATAGTCCTACCTCATTCTTTTCCTCCCTCTGACTGTCTACGATTTCACCCCATTTATTCAGGTCCTCCTCATCATTATTTCCTTTCCCGTCTTCCCCAAATCTACCCACTTTTCCCCATTCCTTTCATCCCTCCTTTCAACTCGCTCTTTTATCTATTTCTCTCCGTGTTTTAAGCCGCAACCATTTTCACTCTTCCCATATTTTTAAAAAGGCAGTTCAACCAACTCTCTAGTGAAGCAATGTTTTAGGAGCCTATGAGCATCAGTTCCAGAATAAACCATACATTCGTTGCAGGAATTTGACCAGCATCCAAGTTCCCATCAGGTGAGCCAGAGCCACAACAGGCGAGTGGGGTGACCTACTGCGTTCGAATTCATCAAGGACCGGGAACAGTCGTGCAAGACCAAGGAATGAGCGGGAAGAAATTAGTTGGTTTGTGCGAGTTCGTGAAAAGATATTGGATTGTGCCTAAGCTCGTTTTCTTGGCGTCTTCATCTTCGTCAACGTCTTGAAGATGACAGCATGTGTATTAGTAACAACTAGACCGGCATGGGTATCAAGTGCAAATGAGATACAGCTGGCTTGTAAGTTAGAGCCTCCTCTAACTATTATTGTCGTTCAAGTCAATATCGTTGTCTTTCAAGGTTCCTTGTAATCGGACCAAGCCATTCTTTAAAAATAATGTTTTTCAATAATGCCAAAATAGACATAAGGACCAAACAACTGGTTATTTCTCTAGCGAGCAGTTTGAAATTTTAATGAAAGCTGAAAACTGAGGGGATAAATTTAAAATAGAAAAGCTTTGGAATTTATGTTGTTCTTCGTCTGGTCATGAAATTTCTGACCAACTAAGTGAAGCCTTTCTGCCTTCCTTTTGTTTGAAATTACCGAAGTAGACTAATACATTCTCGTTAGTTCGTTAGTGCGCGCATTCTGTCGTCATGAATCCAGAACAGCTTGCATTGCTCAAGGAGTTCGTTTCGTTGCTGAAAAAGAAACCTGAAGTTCTCGCTACACCGGAATTGTCATTTTTTAGAGAATGGCTTTCGAGGTACTTTTGTTGTTACGATTACCTTGTTAAAGTATCGGAGCAAATATTCCAAGTTCACAAACTAGTCGCCCTGCTTCAACACCGCTTTCAGAAGTGGATTCGGGAGCAGATGAGACATCTGAGTCTGAAATAGGTGGGTGACGTATACAGTACATAACTTGCGTACAGAGTTTGACGACGAGGTGTTGTCACTGGAAGTTGTTCATGGTCTAGAGATGGGTGATGAGGGGATTGAAGTAACTGATGAGATGCTCGACCAAGCTGAGGAGAAAAAAAGCGAAGCTATGGCTAAAATGTCCGCTGGAGATTTCAGTGAAGCTGTCAGCCTGTTTACTGAGGCCATCAAACTCAACCCACAGTCAGCACTTTTTCATGCTCGGCGTGCAAGGTTAGCTTTCTGATATTAAAGATATTTTAGCAGCTGCTTTATAAAAATGAATAAACCATCTCACGCCATCACCGACTGTGATAAAGCTATCTCCCTCAATCCTGATTCTGCACAGCCATACAAGTGGCGGGGATTCGCTAATAAGTTAGTATACTCATGAGATTATGTTTATATTCGTAGGATGGTTGGGAATTGGGAAGCTGCGTACTCTGATCTGCAGACATCTTTAAGGTTGGATTATTCAGATGATGCTTATGAAGCAATGAAAGAAGTCGAACCAAAGGTAATGTTATGCTTAATTATTTTGGTGATTGACACTAATATGGTCTTAATTTTGGTATTTTAATAAGCCAACCTGTCTGTACAGTACATTAGTCACATCAATATATGATGTTCCTTACTACATGTCTGCTATTAGCGCAAAGTGCAGATCCGTTGTTCACTCGTGAATTTTCCACTGGACGTTTACGATATTTGGTAAGCCGATGGATTGAGCTCTAAGAAAACTATCATAGAAGTACATAGTTTTGCTTTGTCCCTTGTTATGTGAAAACTGGTTGTAAGTACGGAAAAATCTGAAGTTATCCAGAACTGGACAAAAGGAGCAGATATAGGTGGTCTAAGTACTATTTGTCATGAGACTTATTTGTGAATCACATTTTCGCTGAGAATATTCAGACTTTCACTTAACCAGTGTGGTGTTATACAATCCTTTGTGCGTACCACACGCACTACAACCTAGTCGAATCTGTAATCTGACTTGTTCATAAATTTACAGCTTCTCCAACATTATTTGGTTTACTAAACAGTACTTCAAAGTTTTTTGTTATTGTGAGAGACTTGATTCTTAACATTGCGTGTGTAAATTCACTCTTAAGTCCCCTCTTAATCTCATATTTTCATCTAGCACAAACGAATCTTTGAGCATAACATGAAGTATGAACGTAAGCGACAGGAGAAATTGGATCGCGAAAAACGTGACCGAATTCGGAAAGCACGCGAGGAACGTGAACGTGCTCAGAAAGTATGTTTATTTTCTTTTACTATTATTTCTGTACCCAGTGGACTTGAGAACACGTTATTTTACAACTTTGCCGGGGCTACGCAAATGCTGCTTGATGGCAGCGCCACGGAGTCCCCTGTCATCGGCATGTATACCTCATGATTTCAAACTCGTTTGCTATTGTAGTGTGACCATAAAGTTCACTGTTGTGTGGTTGTCTGTCACAAGTAGCTTTTCTATTGCTGCTGACAAAGTGGTAGCATTTTCGAGGAATGTCATGAGTTTTCGCAAATGTCATTCATATACCTTCATCGACTGAGATGGTTGGGACACGTACTACGTATGCCTAGTCACCGCTTGCCTCGTCACACAATGTTGGCTGAGGTGGGTCCAGGCTGGAAAAAGGCCCGAGGTGGTCAGACTAAAACATGGCACCAATGTATGAAGTCTCTGACTGTTGGTTTGAGCCATGTAGGACGATGCAGACTAGGTGGTTGGGGTCCACGGGACAAGAGGAATCAGTGGTTGGAGACCCTAGGTGATATGGCTGAGAACCGAAGTCAGTGGCGCAGATGTATACACACATTATCCTCATCTTAACAACGCTATACCGAATCTCACCATTTTGTCACCTCTCTTTCCTGTCTTCTCATACTTTATATTTCTTTTGACTGCATTCACTTATCTTCATCCTTCACCTCACTACCTTTTTACTTGATGTGCTGATGTGAGGTGTGGCAGCTCGGACCGTTACGCAGTAGTGCCTGGTCCTATGTTGATAATGATGATGATGATGAGTCATTCATATGAAAAATCCCAGTTTGCTTAGAGATGTAACCCAAGATTCCCACTTAATTTCAACATGATAAATGTGAGGTCACTAGTGTTAACCGAATCAAGAATTCTAAGTTTGGACAATTTATGGGAAAAATTTACCCATAGAAGTGTTCTAATATAAGCGGTGTATGTCAACCTTGTGTAAAGGTTGCCAACTATCTTGGTTAGTGCTGCTTGTTTTCTTCTACTATACTTTTCATTTCTTCATTAACAGGAAGCAGAAAAGGATAACTTCGGGATGCCAAACAACGGTGATATGCCAGGGATGGATAATGCTTTTTCACAACTGTTCAACGATTCAGAACTAGTGTCAGCACTTCAGGTATTTGGTATATGATCTTTGTCATTCACTTGGTGTTATTTAAATCTACTTCAGGTATATCTGTTAGTGACATATAAACGGCGTTCATCAGAAGTTTAAATTGTACTCAGTTAAGTGCCTTCATGCTGCTTATGCGTTCACGTAGTGGTGGATATTATGTCACTACCTGTCTGCACCAGAAAAATCAACGAAAATTCAAGTTAACTGTTTGATGTGAATAGAATAAGACAAACTGTATGATACCTAAGCTGCCACCGGTAGCTACTCAATCCGTGAATGTATACGATTATAGAATTATGTCTTACTGGTTACTGGTGTATTGAGGCTGAACATCTAAGTCAGGAAGTCTTGCAGCCCAACCTGATGTAGGTTTAGGTACCGGGTTATGGACTACATTTGTTTTGTAGGGGCTCGTGATACTGCCCTGTTACCCAGGCTAGAGTAGGTAAGTTCAGGTTTAAACGTGGTATCCGTTGGTTGAAATCGAGTTCCTTGCCATTTAAGCACCCTTATGGTGGTTTTTATACACCGAAACGGCTACAAACCATACTGGCCAGGCTAAATTACTCCATTAAGGTATGTGCACAAATGTGACGGTCTGTCTCCTCAACGGTACGTAAAACATCGGGAAGCAGTGTTGCTTAATTTTTCAACTCAGCGACACGAAGTCAACAAACGTACAGTAAAATCAAATTGGTATTCAAAAATAAATAGTAATGTCAACCAACCTGACTGAAGTTTATGTTTCTAACTATGAACCAAGCTTGTTGTATGAAGGTCTGTGATGCTCTCCGGTTGTCATCATCAAAGATGGGGTGGAATTTGGTCACGGTACTCATTACTTCATAGTCGAATACAACATTTGGTTGTTTAAGGTCTTCAGCTTCTTTCCTTCCGTACTTCATAGTTGAGTACCACGCTTCCAGCCTTCAGCAAAAGATGGGATATGAATAGCTTAGCAACCAAACAGTAAGGTTGCTTCAAATGCTCAACTCTATAGATTTTCTCACCCAAAGACTCCCATATTTTATGAATCCAGGTTGTGAGTTTTTATACCGGAAATGTTTTTCATTAAATCAGGCCTTTAGTAACCTTTTTATATGGGTTATGCATACATTTTCATTGCAGGATCCAGAGGTGATGAAAGCATTTAGTGAAGTGTGCTCGGACCCGGGTGCCATGGATAAATACAAGGATAACCCGAAAGTAAAAAAAATCATTGAAAAGATGAAGAATAAGTTTGGTGGTGGTGGTGGTATGCCTGGTAAGTAATGTTTGTCCACTGTCATCTGTCTGAATATGATATCAGCTGAGTAGTTGTAAACAAAGTGATTTTTGATAATACTATGATAAAATCTATTCGGTTTGCAATGTAGGTGAGTTTGCTAACGTACATACATCTGTTTACTCTTACTTTTGTCTAGGTAATTTGCTCTTGTCAGTTCCTAATGCCTCTCTTGCTTATGCGTTTGCATGCACAACACCATGTCCCAGCCACCTCAGTCGATGAAGATCCGAAATCGCGTCAACTATCTTATCCCTCCCTTCTGAAACCATTCTCATGTTGTCACTCAATGTGATCAGAAAACTGCATTTTGTCTTCACCTAACAGAATTGTGTCATCAAGGTATTATAGATGTCATAGATTCTCGTGATTAGACTCATCCCTGTAAGGTCAGATAATGGGAGGGAGACCTGTTAAAATTGAACACAGAGGGAATGAGCATCCTCGACGGGCACCACTTGATGTATTCAGCTCACACAACGACTCATCAAGGGCTCTAGAAAGCCCATGGGTGTTTAAGTAAAGGGCCTTCAACAAAGTGATGTATTTACTCGATAGCCCTTTCAGTAAGAGATTGTGCCACAAGACCTCTTGATCGACGGAGTCGAATGCTTTCTTCAGGCTGAGAAACACAGCTAGTGTCGGTCGTCAGTAAGTGTGCCCGTGTACCAGAACCTGGTCAAGTGAACATTTGTCCAACACACCCACGGCCAGGTTTTCTTGTGTTTGCTGCTTTCGTGCTTCACTCAGGCGTCTAGTGATTATAGAACCTAGGATCTTGGACACCATGTTCATCAGACTGATTTCCTGTGGTTATCACAGGAAGACTTCTTACTTTTTTTGAAGACTGGGATAATCAGTGGTTGAGATCAGGTAGAGGTGATCGTATCTGACTCCCAAACACTGGTTAACACTTCAGTCAACTTGGCTAAAAATCCCCTGTAATTAGTCCGCCTGACTGCTACTTTTCCTCATTCCAGGTTACCTACGGTATTGTCGACTTCCTTAAGTGTCGGCGTCCTATCTATATGTTCCATTCAGGCCCCGACTAGATAGCTGGCAACAAAGTAGTAGCTGAAAGTCTTTTGGAATGTTTAGCCCATCGTTTCCGTCGTCTCGTTTGTGAGTGAATCAGGTCCATCTTTCTCCACTATGGTCTCACTAATCATTGACTTTTGGCCCCAATTTCCTTAATAAGTCTAAATAACTGTCTACTGTTACCCGTCACTGCTGCCTTTTTCATCTCTTTAGCTTTCAGTGTACACCACTTCGCGGTCATTGCGTAGACTTGTCATTACCTTTTGGTTGCATTCGCTCTTCATTGTACTCGGAGCCTGCAGGGTTGCGTTTGTGCGCATCCACTAATTCAGAAGAAGCTGCAGTTATCCCCGGGCTCTCTTCGACCACTCTGTGACTCGGCTACGGTCTTCATCGCTGTTTTTACAGCAAACCGGAGATAGTGCCAAGCTTCTTCTGGGTCAGTGATATTTTTCACTTCCGATAACTGTCCAGTCAGTTTCTCACTGAAATCAGCCTTAGCGCCCTCATTGCCGAGCTTCACTCGTAATTGTCTTGTTGCTAACGTTTGCTTACGTCCATTGATTTTCAGACATACGCGCTTGAACCAACGCATCGCGGCTGTCCAAACGTTCTTCAGAATAGGTGGCAGTCTTCCGAAAACCCTCTCCAGCGATAACTGATAGCAATGTGGTCTATTCGTGTCCACCGCTGGTTTGAAGTCAGTGGATGCCACGGCAAACAATTTCTTTGTTTATGTCTGGCTAGAAATAAGTGGTTATCTGATCACATGTAGTAGGTGATCACCGTTATTTGTTCTTTCCGATGGAATCCTGAAAATGTCACTTGAGTGCCTTTCTGCGTAACTTAGTCTTTCCATTTACACATCGAAATCGTCTGTTACAAATACAACATTTGAGGAGCGCTTAGCTTTCTGTATGAGGCTAGATTCTTCTCTAGAGAACTTACCCTTCACTTCCTCCAAACTGCAATCGGTGGGTGCTTAGAGAAAAAATTACGAAGAGCCAACGGTGAGTTTCATTACTCACTGTGCTGTTCAGTCGAACAGTGCGTAGGTGATTGTCAACTGGAATCCGATCGGATAGCTCAATTTCTGCCTTTTTGCTCAGTGCCATACCTGTACGTGTAGGACCGCGGAAACTAGCTGTCGAATCTTCAGAAACTCGAAGGGGTGGATTTTGAGGATTCACCGTAATGTCCAGGTAAGGTCCAGTGAATAACTACACCTGCGTTATGTATGCGTATCTCACAGACATCCATGTTCCAAGTTTATGGAGCTGTGGGTAGTGAAGCTAGTTGGCCGATTTGGTGGAGTATACGGACATTAAAAACTTCGATATGGAGTTTGAAGTGCGGTTTCAGGAGACCAAAAATACTGTTCTATGGACTCAGATCGTTGTCGAAAGCTGTAGAGCTGAAAAATTAAAGATGATGTAGGATTATCGATCGAGGGAAGTGAATGAATATTAGAAGATAAAAGTGTGGAAGGTTGACAGCGACCAGAGGGAACTTCGGTACTGAAAATTGTGACGGCGGTTAACAGTTTCCGACTGTCGACCGTGGAAAATTGGTTCTTCTTAAGGCAACTGAAATGGAAGGGTTTCTGCGTGTTCTCAAAGCCAAAAGGACATCTGTTTGAGATCGGTCACACACGACCTCTATGCAAGCTTAAGATTTTGGCTTGTTGCTTTTGAATCTCACCATGAATGCATGACACCGGCATCGGCGTGCCTGCGGGGGGTGGTGTGCTATTTTGAGGCCCGGTATTTTAAAACCTCCCGACCCATCTTCCCGCAGGAAGGGCTGCGTGACAGTACTGATCGTCCGAGGAAATCACCTTTACGGCTGTCACACTTCCAGCTACTGGTCGGGAAACAGGCAAAATTTAGTGTATGTGCACATATGTTGCGTTACTTCTATCACCGAGTTATTGGTATGATACAGCGATTTGATCTTCTAACTAGAATCTACTGCCATTCATTTTAGAAAACTGATACAGTCTATGAGTAAAGTGCTGATTTCTTGGGAGTGTTGTATCACAACTGTAACCATTGTCTACTCCAGCCTATTATTCTAAAGTTGACCATAGATGAAGGAATCCTTGAACAACGGTAAAAAGAACCTTAAACCTTGCTGAAAAGTGCATTGATTAAATTTGCTACACCATTTCAGCTGTGTTCAAGCGTCAGTAAGGAAGGTTTGGAAACGAAAATAATTTTGGTTGCGATAAAGCACCAGTAAAATAAAAGCAACAGGGAAATAAAGATGGGTGATCAAAATTTCAGCATTAGAAGAGGATGCGATCGTTTTTTAGCTATCGTCCGGAATCTTCAAGTATTAGTTCAGGAAATCACAAGAGAAGTCCGCATAACTCAAACACCACTGATCGATGAAGCTTTTTTTTTATCTCCACTTAATCTTTTCATCTTGTTGGTATCCCATCTAGTAGCAGTCGGCATAGACGGTATGTCTCAGTCCTTTTCAGGTACATCAAAGTGTAAAACTGGGTGATTGTGGTAGGATGTAGTTCTATATTAGATTTGTTCACTTGATGAAGCGCATAGTGATACAGTACTATTTACTTGATATCAGGTAAATAATGCTATATCACTGTGTGCTCTATCAAGTAAACGGATCTAATATGAAATCTCTCAGTTACTTTTCCTACTTTACCTAGTATAGTACACCTAGCCTCTATATTTCTCAACTGATACTTTTTTCGCTTGATGGTAGAAAGAAGGCATCATGCGATTGGTAGAGTTTTATTAGACTAACTCATGCAACCCAATCCGGTTTATGCTTATGTAGCAGGTTATGAACCACACTTGTGTGAGACCTGGGTCAAAGTAAGTGGGGTTAGGGCTCACACATTTCCCCAAAGTCTTAACCAATCACCCAAACTTCTGTGTGCAATTGAAGTTTTACCTACATAACTTCCTGTGCTAGTTTGTCTAATCAACAAGAAATCGAACAAGATCTAACCCGTTCGGAAGTCAGTCGAGTGTATTACAAGTTTGAGTTACTTCTTGACTAGGGTGAAGTAGTGACTTAGAAACACTCTGGAATTGCTCTTATTAATTCCATTAACGTACGAGTTTTACTATCGTTTTTACTGATAATAATATCAACAGCTTTTGGTTATTATTGGCTACCTGCTCAGTTTAAGATTTTATCGTATTGGGTGTCGGTTGTTTTTACTATACACAGATGTCACTTGAACAGTAATTAGAGTTTTAATTTCCTATCATGAGATCGTACCATCTCACGACCACAGGCTATCGCCCATACCACTTCGGTCATAAACTCTCTCAGTAATCATGACTAATTGTTTGGTACACACCCTTGCATAATTTACGGTTAGATCTACGCAGCTAATGAGCTTGTATTTCTCACTAGGAGGTATGCCTTTTGGAATGGGAGGAGCCGGTTTCAATATGCCGAATCAGTCATGTCCAGGTAAGACTTTGTAAAGCATAACATTAAATGCCATTTTAGATCTAGACTAGATGTGTGAATAATAATCTCAACCATTTGGTAACCGGGTTTGGAGGCATCCGTTACACAAACATTTTTCTACATTCATGAATAAAAAAATATTTCGCATCAGTATTGGTTTTTTCTTTTACCTGTTGCGCTAGTATTGGTTTCATTTTATTAATGAAAGTAGAGTGATCCATGCATTCCTATCATGACGATAGGTGACAGAGCCTCGTTAATTTTGTGCTTCAGGCAATCTCAGACCTTGCTACACGCATGCATTAAAACTTAACGTAGCACTGTCTTGTCTACTGGTAGTTATTTTTTTTAACCTTTCAGGAATTGCTCCCAAATAATGTGAAATTCTCAGTGCTTGTCGCAGTCGGGATTAGCTAAATTAATGAACCTGGAAGAATGTTTAGCCTTATTGTGTCATTTAAGTAGTTCATGATTTCGTGTACCATAATAGTCGAGTTTCTTGGTTAACTGATGTCTGTCGTCTGAAGGCCGTTTACTTTCAGGAGGTAATCTGTATATAGTATATATATATATATATATATATATATATATATATATATATATATATATATATATAGTATAGATGCTTTAAGGATGAAAGAATGATAGTGCGAGTTTTCTGTTCGGTGCAGGTTTGCGAACTGGGCTCTGAGCCACAATTAATGTGTGAGGATTTCTTTTAGGTGCCCAGCTATTGTACTTGATGCCTATCAACCGAGTTCCTTATGGTGGGCTTATAAAATCGAGTCGGGGCCGTTCTTTTAGCTGTTCCTATGTACATGCTTCCTCAAGTGCAAATCAGTTGGTAAATGCAGTTAGAGGTGATAAGAGAGGAGTGTGTATCTGCTTTAGTTTCACTCACTCAATGCGTAGTTTTGTCAACTGATATCAGCTTAGCCGAAATGAAGCTTTTCAGTGAAACTTTAAGCCATCCATCTATCCTTTACATCCCGTTTCTCTTGACTACCAAATGGATAGTGTTTCTTTTCAACAGTTGGATGCTTAAGAGTTTTTTTCGATCTTCAGAATAAACTTCGTGCATCCGTTCTCCCGAGGAATCTCAGTAGTGCATAGTCTCTCCTACACCTTATCATGTGAGAATACTTTCCTTACCCTGTTGAGCAGTGTCCCCACTAAACCTTTTTTAATTGACAAGACAGAAACTATTGTAGATGGTTTTCTGATCTGTCCATTTATCATCCCTAGGCGTTAAAAAATACCCACCACCACAACCAACCGAGTTACTTCGGAGCAACCAGTTGATACCCCTCGACCTAGAGAGCATTCCAACTATAATGAGTGTTTTTATAAAGGCAAAAAAAAGACGGGCTAAGTCTTGTGCTTATTGTAAACTTTTCTCAGTTTACCTTTAGTATTCCAATAGAAAAGCTGAACGACTCCCGACGCCTTTATTCTTCCGAATGGCAACCTGTTACTCAGATTCTGTCCTAAAGGCTTTTCTGAGAACACTAAATTTATATGTATATCAGTGGTTGAGTGGACGAAATAAGCTGAAATAATTCGTGAGAAATATACCTCGGAAATGAAGTTTGGTCGTATCACTACAAAATAGTTTGTATTTCTAGACTCGGCAAAGTTTTCGGGAAATGTCCGATAGTTTACTTGGATCTGTTTCCACAGTCTGGAGTCTTTGCTGGCTGCAGTTCCACTGTATAGAGAATATATCCTGAAGGTAGACAGTTTTAGTTCCACTTCAGTAATTCAGATTTACTTCGCCTAACAATCAGCTGTCCAGACGAAACTGTTAAATGGAATTATGAGTGCTATGAATGGATGTTGCTCGTCACTATCCTTTTATCGACCAACATCGAAGCAGTGTTAATGTTTGAGCTTATTTGGTTAGTTGTCAGTCATGTCTACTCTTCTTTATCTCTTCCCGTTTCTATGCCTATTTTTCTCGTCCGTACTACCATTTCTGCCTAGTACACAGATACAGGAAGTTGAGTGTCTACACTTTATTACTTCATCATGAAATCCATGTTACGGTGATCAATTTGAAACGTACTTAGCAGCCGCATCCACGTCTGTACACTAAACAATGAGCCACACCAGTGGTTTTGGTTAGAATGTCCTAACAGTTGCGATGCATGGTTCACATTATCACAAACAGTATGTGTCGTCAACAGCCCTTGCTGTTTTTAAATAAGTTATAAAGGTATCAGCTAGGAAAGGTCCCAGGGGTGACTCTAACTCTGCTGTATCAGTTCGACACTGTGGTTGGTTATTAAACTAGAAGCGCATAGAGAAATAACAATTTTTCAACTCTATTTTTAAGAGTGGAAGTAGATCACTCTGTTGACAGGTTATGTTTTTACTTCCACCTTTTGTGTTCGTTGATAAAGAGAAGGCATCAAACGATGTAAACTTACGTGGGATATTCACCTGATCCAGTTCTTGGAATAATTATTTGGAAAATCTATCTCAGACTGATTTACTATCCTTCCTCTAATGAGTCCACTTTTCTGCGCTTAGTGACAAGTTAACTTGTGGCAAAGCGGACTTATCATCGGAAATAGAGGGTCTGAGAGGAATGTTCGATTTTTGAATTTCTGGGAGAGCATAAATGAATGGAAGGTGTTGGCCCTTGGGTTCAAGATTGTTATGCGATCATAACATCGATGAAATTCTTTCAAAAAAAGTTCTTTAGGATGTTTACTGACTGGTGTAATCCTAGGCTGTATGCGACTCGAATATCCGTAAGATGACATTTTATTCTCCAAATCTCTTCGTCTTGACTTTGTTCTAAGTCAAGGAAACGAAATATGTGGTGCTCATACAATCCAGTTAGTCCTATAAATGGTCTTTATCAATGGCAGTCCTTACATACTTCTAGTGCCAGCCCATCAGTGCCTTCTACCCTTCTTCGTTTCAGTTTACTTACAGCCATCTTAACTTCTGCAAAAGTCAGCAGTATCCCTGTACCACTTTAGATGCAACCGAAAAGTGGGGAACCGAAGACTAGCTAGAGGTTTGTCGGAGTGTCCAACCCATCGTTCCAATCGTCTCTTACGAATGAATCGCAAATCCATCTTTTTCCACTATAGTCCTTTTTGCTCCAGTTTCTCTGATCACTCTAAATAATGGCATGGTGTTACTTATTGCTATGACCTTATCTATCTTCAGCTAACAGTGATTGCTTTGACTCTACTAGTCTACATATGAGTTACATCTGCTCATCCTGTCCACCTGTTAATTCAGAAGAAGCTGTTGAGGTTCATCGGCCTGTCGTAACCTTTTTCTGAGTGTCGTTTACGGTCTTTACTGTTTTTTTTCTACGACAGACTGGAGATGGCATTGGGTTTAGTATCCTCACTGCACTTGAGATGTCCTTCCAATCCTAGTTCTCTATGTTCATTTTCGCTAGAATAAGGGCGTCCTGCAAACAACACGCTGTCGCAGCCGAGGAAGGAGTTGGAGTCTTCCAACGACAACTTATAGCAATACGGTTTACGTCCACTTTTAGGTTGTGTAGCTGGTGGATGCCACGTAAGACAATGTACCACTTCACACCTGAAGTTCGTGCTGATGGGTTGCCTGAGCGCAGTTGTAGCAGGCGATCACCATTGTCTGTTCGTTCAGATGGGATTCCAGAAGTGCCTTTCTACCTTTCGTAACTTACACATTACTGCATTGAAATCACCTACTACGACAACTCTCGACTCTCAGTAGAAGGCTAGATAATTTTTGGAAAAACTAGCCTTTATCCGAACTGCAGCCAGTGGGTGTATAGATAGAGATTACAAAGAGAGCGGTGGGTCTCACTATTCTTAGTCTTTACTGCTATATTCAGTTGAACAGCACATAACTGTCAACTTTGTATGCAGCAGACAGGCAATATCGACGTAGCACGTGATATTGCTATGTAACGATTCAAGTTGCGGTCAAAAAAACGAGGAGGAATGAGATAATACTGGAACTCAATGTGACCATAATGTGTGGATACATCTGCGTCATTGAGATCAATTCTGAACCATATCTTCTAGAGTCTCCAACTAATGGCTTCAGTTGTTACGCGGACCTAAATAGAGGAATCTACATTTTTCTACGTGACTGGGATCAACAGTCGAAAGCTTCAGGGACTGATCCTATGTTTTATTCTTGGTGCCTCTAACCTTACTCCCGTTTGAACCTACTTCATCCAACATTGTTCGACGAGGCTGACGGTGACTAGGCATGCGTAACACGTCCCAGCCAGCTGAGTTGATGTAGGTTTACAACCTCACCAACTTACTTCCCTCCTTTGCCCAAAACTACGCCTCACTTCTCTAATGACGTGATAACACGACACATGGCTTATACTACATAGGAAATGGTGGTCAAACACCTGAAATAGTCAATGTGAAATGCTGGTCATTCACTGTGGGTGGAGACGCATTACTACTATCTTACCCCACACCCCACCACAGATGAAGCTCCTTACACTACAACCGTGACTGCTTTTTATCTTACCGCTATCCAGCAGACTTCTGCAATGGTAAGACCTGAAGAAATTATACTTCTAGCCAGCCTAGTTAGTTGGGTCATTGCGATAGGCAACCTTGATCACTGTCAGGATGGCACCTGTTATTTGTTCATATCATGAATAGCCTTGAACATTTGTTTGAGAGTTCCGCAGAATGGGTCGTGCATGCCAACAGATATTTGAGAGCCAAGCGTAAGACAATACTTAGCTTCATCATGCTGGGAGTGTAGTGCTGTATGTAACCACTCAAAAATGTACCGGAAAGATTAGGAGACAATACTTTGTTTACGTAAACCCGTGCACGTTTGATTTAATGGCTACGTATCGTTCGTGTGCGAATAACAATTTCATTTCGTGTAGTCACCATTTTGAAGGATCTAGTTGTGAACTTTGGATAAGCATATCTAGGGATCAGCCTTTCACAGTAGCGTAAAAAGTGAAATTTCTTTCTCAGATGCTTCGAGAAACTGATATGCACGTGTAGTTCTCCCTTCATTTATGTCAACAGCTGAAAGAAGTAAGTGGACGTGCTGAAGAATTGCAATCGACTCAGAACTGCGTAACGTTACAAACGTGTTGCAAGTTTAATCAACTAGAGTATGTTGAAGAAAGTAAGCGGAAACCGGTTTT